AGAAACATAAATTAGGTTAGTATTTATTTATAATTTCAACCCAAATGGCTCTAATCAACATATAAATGAAATTGAATGTTAATTTACATAAATAAAATTTACTTACCCAATGATTATCTCCTAATGTTTCTTGGAAAACAAAATTAAGAAAAATTAAAATTGCAAATAAATTTATTAATAACACAAATTAGTATTTAATCAAATAGGGAGAAACAATGGAAGAGAAAATGAGAGGAGATTGAGAAGATATAAACCTAAAATTATATGAATATAATGTAATTATAAACATAAACAATTAATCTAACAGCATTGAATGGAAGAGAAAGAGGAGGCACAAATAAGGGAGGGGAAGAAAAAAGAAGAAGAAGAAGGAAGGTAAGAAGAAATGAGCCAGGCAGAGTGCTGGGGTGAAGAATATATAGACCAATTTACTCATGTGTGCTTTGTCGGTATTCATTTTACTGACAAAAATCACATAGGTAGTTTACCTCAAGGCAGGAATCAAAAACCAAAAATTTTGCAATCCCTGCCCAAATTACTGACCAACTTCATGTCGGTATATGAAGACCATTTTACTGACTAAAATCACATTGGAAATTAGAAGTTGTCGACAAGATGCATGTGGGAAATTGGGATTTACCTACGTGCAACTTATTGGTAAGCCTCCACAACTTCCTTTCCAAATTTCGTCCACTTTCATGCTATTTTCTAAATTTATCCAACAAATTTCTTACATTTTAATCATTTTAGTGGACATAAATTTTTAAAAAATTTGACAAAATTCCCCTGTATATATGATAAAAGCTAATTTTTTTTTAAATCTACTTTTGCAATTCTACAACTTTGTTATAAAAAATGCAATAATTTGAAATTTATTCAATAAATTTTTTGCAATTTGCTCATTTTAGTTGGTATAAATTCTAAAAAAAATTTGGTAGAGTTTCCCCACACATATGATCAAAACCAATTTTTTTGAACTTGCATTTGAAATGAAAACAACATATATTTTACAACTCTACCATGCTAGAAACAATTATACCTTTTCAACCACAACCACAAAGTATGGCAATCATACACCATTGTCTTAAATACCTACGATATTCAGTTCATAATAATTAACCTCCAAAACAATCCAAAACTTCATACCTTTTAAAGTATGATCACTGGAGATCAAGCAAAATAGGAAAAGATATTGTAATGAAAAGCTAAAGCTAGCAGTTTAAAGTACTAACAGAAATAAAGCCAACCTTGCAAAATGTGCAGATAAGGTACGTAGCAAAAAATAATAATAATAATAACTAAGGACCTTGATAGTTTAGATCAAAAATAGGATGGTATACATCATCTTGAGGCGAAAGCTGTTGTTGATATTCAGGGACCATAGGAGAGGTTTGTGTAGAATCAGTGGAGTAGGTGAAAGCTGAATTCATGTGAAGACTTGAGCTATCACCATGTGGCGGCTATGGTGGGGCAACTGGATGATGACTTGCCTAAGGGGGAGATGCCATAAGTGGCTAGAGCTGCTGCAACAGACTGTGCAATTGTCTGGCTCATATTATTATGGGCTTGTGTCATCTAGGTCAGCTGCTATTGCATCAGAGCCATTTGTTGGTGTTGCCTTTCTAACTCTTCTTGTTGTTTTGCCATAACCTCATTCTAGCATGCCTATGCCTCGTCATAGTCAGACATCATCATTTCTGCTATTAAGTTATCTCGGGGTTGTCTCTTCCTATGAATTTGCTGAATTCACAAATGTCTCACCATGCACCCACCAAATAGAATAAGCATTCATAAAACCATTCCTAGTAAGATGGTCCCATACCATTCCCCGAGTCATCAGCGGTAAATTCAAGCATTTAGTACAAGAACATCTAATTAAATCATTCGGTTCAAGACCAAGGCTATTGTATGCAAATTGAAGGAAATATTCAACTCCATTATAGAACTCATCATATATTTCTCCTCGTGGAGTTTGACACCTATGCATCCAACTACGATCCTCCATAATCTTATTAAATCAATAAAATAAAAATAATAACATGATTAGTTTCAAAATAATTATAATATCTCACATATTTTATAGTTGGTTAAAACCTAAATTTATCATACATACATACATATATATATAAATATGTTAAATTTATTCATCAACAAAATTTATCATACACAAATTATTGAATTTTTATTTAATAAAAAAATTAATATTTAACCA